AACAAGAGAAAGTCAAAGCAGGTAAAATGAACAACTTTTGAAATTAGCTTTATATTGTCATTCCAGCTGATCAACCAAACTTGCATTTCCATGACTCCCATAGCAATCAGGTCAAAACATACCAAAGTTTCCAAACACACAGTGCATAGATCGAAATATAAAATGAGCTCCTAGTGTTCTTGACCTTGATTATAAACTAGCTGCTATATTTGTAAACTCATTTTGTTTGGGCGATCGGATACTACAATTTGACTTTGCTAAGCCTTCTACATGTAGCTGTGATATCTCCCTTTGAGCAAACCAGAAATCTGCAACAGCAAAAGACAGTGTGGAAAGTAAAAGAAATGAGCTAACCTACTCTGTTGTTCAAAATGAACGCTCAAAAGTCATTCTCTTAAGTTTTGAGTTTTCAGATTATGGTTTCACACCAGAGAAAGGTAAATAAGAAGTTGAAGCTTGAAATACATACAATGTACAAGATTGGCCAAACAATATCAGTCATATTTGTTTTACTATTGATAGAATTATTTACAGTGTATGATAATGTAGTCAATATGTACTAAGCTCAGCTCTACAATACTCATTTCATGTGCTAGAAAATTAATTTTTTTTTTGTGAACAGAATTAAACAAGCTGACAAGGATTATAACTGTAATTGAGCTCACCTGACTGAAAGTGAACTTAGAGCAAGAAGTATGTTTGCATGCAGGTCAGTTTGATTTTCTGTTAGGAAATTTAAATAAATTTAAAACTTAACAAGAAATTTCCTTACCATTTTTAATAATATGATTTTAAACTTTCATTTTACTTTCACTTTCAAAGGATGTCTGATTCCATAAATCTTTGAATATCACTTGGGGATATACAATTTAGACCAATCATGATGTTGGAAATTACGATAATTGATGTTTAAATAAACATAAAGCACAGGTTACTAAATCTGAACCAAGACATTTTTAGTGAAAAATGTTCAAAATGCACAAATTTTGGCAAGCTTCTTGTACATGTTATCAAAGGTTTTAACACGCATGTGAGTGCAGACTGGTCTGTTAATTAATATACATGTAATTTCTTTCCAGCAGATACATGTCATTGTTTAAAGAAGGCAGGTTGATCAGATCCTGATGGTGGAAATAGATTCTGCCAGCATGGGTGAGTTTGCATATGACCATGTTAAGGTGATTACCATAATTATAAGCTCCTACTTTTGGCTATATATAATTATATTTTTTGGGAGTTTGTAATGCATTGTCTGGGTTAATTGCTGCAACATTAAGTTTTATCAAATGGAATAAGAATTGTCTACAACTTGTAACTTTCAGTAATGCACCAATCAAAATTTCTTTTAGAGTGATTTTGTTTTCTTAGACATCATAAGTGAAGTGGTTTGAATTTCTTATTAATACCTTAAATAAGCTATGTAGATGATATTATTCTTTTATCAAATAAATTGTTCAAATGATTATTTCTTGCTCTTATAATCTAGGGGAAGAAAACAGCAGGCAGTGATTGTTTAAGTGACAGGAAACAACTCACAGAGGTAATATGACTCATTGACCTGCACTCTACTCATTAAAATCTCTTTATTTTAGTGACATATGTTTTAACTGGGGTTGCATGAAGTTAATCTGCTGCAAACTGTTGCCCATCTATTGATCATGACAAGAAATAGAA